ACTGATAAGATGATGGTTGAGAAGGTAATGAGAATGTTGACCTCTCAATTTGATCACGTTATCGTAGCTATTCAAGAATCCAACAATATTGAAACCACTAAAGTGAAAGATTTGGTTGGTTCGTTAGAGGCGCATGAGATGAGGATTGTCGAAAGAAAAGGAGTTCAGGACTCGATACAGGCACTGCAAGCTCAATCATGGAAAAAAGATGGTGATTCCAACAAATTCAAAGGCAAGTTCGACAAGACTCATGGCAAGAAGTCTTGGTAGAACTCCCATAAGAATAAGGTCAAAGATAGATCTTCTGAATCCTCGAAAAGGGAAGGAGGAAAATATCGAAAGGACAAAGAAGATAAGAAAGGTATGCAGTGTTATAACTGTGAAAAGTGGGGACACTTGGCCATGAATTGTTGGTACAGAAAAGACAAGGGATTGAAAGGCAAGGACGAAGGAGCGAACCTTGCACGCCAAGATTCAGATGATTCTGAAGGTGGTATGATGGTTATGGCTGCAGTTGCAGATAACCATGTTGAATCTAATATCTGGTTTGTCGACTCAAGTTGCTCGAACCACATGACTGGTTGAAAGGAATGGTTGGAAGATTTTGACGAGTCGAAGAAGAGCAAGGTAAAACTTGCTGATAATAGTTCATTGCAAACAGAAGGTACTGGAAACATAGTTTTTCAAATGAGTAATGGAGGGAAAGCTATGATCAAAGATGTGCTCTATGTACCTGGAATGAAATGAAACTTGTTAAGTGTTGGACAACTAGTTGAAAAATGTTTATCAGTTGTCATGAAAGATGGAGTTTTGAAATTGTTCGACACTAAGAACAATTTGGTTTTAAAATCTCCATTGTCGAAGAACAAGACATTTAAGACTATGATCAGTTCGACAGAAGTTCAATGTTTGAAAACTGTTGTCGACCACAAGGATAGTTGGTTATGGCATTTGAGGTTTGTACATTTGAATTTTCGATCACTTAATCAACTGATTACTCAAGATATGGTTACTGGTATTCCAAGTCTTGAGATGCCTGAAAAACTTTTTGAAGGTTGTTTAATGGGAAAGCAATCCAGAAACTATTTTGTTTCGACTATGTCAATGAGATCATCTTGCATTCTCGAAGTGGTGCATTCAGATGTATGTGGTCCATTTGAAGAACATACAATTGGTGGAAACAAATATTTTGTTTCCTTTGTCGATGAGTTTATTCGAAAGTTGTGGATCTATGTGATCAAACGAAAGGACGAAGTACTCGAAATCTTTAAGAGATTCAAGATACTTGTCGAAAACCAGAGTGAGAAGAAGATCAAAGTTCTACGAACAGATGGAGGTGGCGAATACACGTCCAAGATGTTTGAAGATTTCTGTGCAGAACACGGTGTTGATCAGGAGGTAACTCCTCCTTACACACCTCGGCATAGTGAAATTGCTGAAAGAAGAAATAGAACCATATTAGATATGGCAAGATGCATGCTGAAGCAAAAGAATTTTCCAAAATCTTTATGGGGAGAAGCTGTTTCGACTGCAGTTTATATTTTGAATAGGTGTCCTACTAAGATATTGAAGAACAAGGTTCCTGAAGAAGTGTGGAGTGGCAAATGACCATCAGTAAGTAACTTGAAGGTGTTTAGCTCTATGTGTTACAAGCATTTTCCTGATGCAAGGAGAAGGAAGCTTGATGAAAAGAGTGAACCTATGATTCTGGTAGGATATCATAAAACTGGTGCATACAGACTATTCAATCCAGTTAATGAAAAGATTGTGTTGAGTCGAGATATTGTGATTAATAAAAATTCTGCCTGGGATTGGAATTATAGCAATTCAATTAACAAATCATTAATGAACTTTGATTTTGATGAAGAAACTAATGAAGTAGAGGTCGAAGGAATTGTTAAGAATCCAGTCGAAGTCAAAGAGGAAGCGGTTGCTGACACTCCCGTCACAATCGAAGTCGAAGAGGTTGTGGCTGAAACAAGCCAAAGACCTCAAAGAAATAGAGTTCTTCCAACAAGACTTCATGATTATGAAGTGATGGTTGATGATGAAATCACACCAGATGGAGAATTGGTTCATTTTGCTTTACTTGCAGGTGATGAACCAATCAACTATAGCGAAGCTTTGAAGATTAACAAGTTGAAGTTAGCTATGGTCGAAGAGTTACAGGCAATCGAAAGAAACAACACATGGGAGTTAGTCGAATTTCCAACACATACAAAAGCTATCGAAGTAAAGTGGGTGTTCAAGTTGAAACACAATACAGATGGGTCAATAGTAAGACATAAAGCAAGATTAGTAGCTCAAGGTTTTCTTCAAAGAGCAGGACTTGACTACTCTGAAGTATTTGCTCTAGTAGCAAGATTAGAGACTGTTCGACTAGTAGTAGCATTGGCATGCAACCAAGGCTAGTCAACATTTCATCTAGATGTGAAATCAACATTTTTGAATGGTCCTTTAGACGAAGAAGTTAATGTCACACAACCTCCTGGGTTTGTGATTCAGAAGGAAGCGAGTAAAGTATATAGATTGCACAAAGCCCTCTATGGCCTAAAGCAGGAACCTAGGGCATGAAACAAGAAGATCGACTCATACTTAGTCGAATTAGGATTTGTCAAATGAAAATCAGAGTATGGTGTCTATGTTCAGGTTGTAGCACAAGATATAACAATCACCTGCTTGTATGTTGATGACTTGCTAGTAACTGGAAATAGTTTGGAGAACTTGCCGAAGTTCAAAGAGCTGATGACGAAGGAATTTGAAATGTTGAATCTAGGAAAATTGCCTTATTTTCTAGGCATGGAATTTCAAATGTCGAAGCAAGGTATGGTGCTACATCAAAGAAAGTATGTCAAAGAAATAATCAAGAGATTTATAATGGATGATTCGAATCCTGCATCCTTACCTGTCGAACCAAATGTGAAGTTGGAGAAGAATGGAGAGGAAGACAAAGTCGATGCAACTTTGTTCAAGCAAATTGTGGAATTTCTGAGGTATGTGTGAAATAGTCGACCTGATATAAGTTTCGTAGTCGGATTAGTAAGCAGATATATGGGTGAACCAAGAGTGTCACCTATGAAGGCTGCAAGAAGAATCCTTCGATATTTGAAGGGTTCAATAAATTGTGGAATACTATTTCGACGAGATTCTGAAGGCAAAGAAGCAATAGTTAATTGTTTTTCAGATGCTGATTGGTGTGGAGATAAGGAAGATCAAAGAAGCACAACTGGATATTTCTTTCAAGTATTTCGTGCCCCAATCTCATGGTGTTCGAAGAAGCAACCTATGGTGGCATTGTCATCGTGTGAAGCTGAATATATAGCGGGATCCTATGCTGCATGTCAAGCAATTTGGATCAGATCTGTACTTGAAGAAATGACTGTCGAAGTGAAGAAACCTCTAGTATTGCAAATCGACAACAAGTCAGCCATAAATTTGGCGAAGAATCCAGTTCTACATGGAAGAAGTAAACATATTGAAGCAAAGTTTCACTTCTTGAGGGAAAAAGTAAATCAAGGTGAACTTGAAGTTAGGCATTGCTCAAGTGAAGCACAGTTGGCAGATATTTTCACCAAAGGATTGAAGATCGACAAATTCCTGAATTTGAGAAAGAAATTAGAAATAGTTCAGATTGACTATTTTTGAGAATGTTCGATAACTTGGATTATGGGGGTGTGTTGAAATATTAAATTTGATTAGATTAGATTTGATTAGATTTAATATTTAATATAATCTAAGTTGTGTTAGCCCAAACCAAATTAGGGTTATATATAAATAGTCATAGTGTATATTTATTCTCTCTTTCTCTCCTCACTAAAAGTGCCTCACGCACTGACATTCTACACCTTTCTTACATTGTCCTCTAATGTGGTAAGTTTGTCATTCACAAGGTAAAGAACATCTTAAAATTTAAAGATCACCTTCATTTATGCAAACCATTGGTCAGAATTTTTCACCTTTAAATATTGGTTGATTCACATGGAATTGATTTCACGTAGTACTCAAGTTTTGCCATTGATTTTGACAACATAAGAAAGAAAAAAGAAATTGTGGTGTGATATAAGTTACCTCACTTTGCAAGTAAAAAAGAAAAGGATGAATATACTGATAAATGATAAAGTATAATGAATTTTATTAAACGATCTAGATAGTTAGTTATATACATAGAATGTTTTAATAAACTTAAGCCATATGCATTACTTGCATAAGTTATTTAACAAAGTCTAACTATCTTAAGAATAAAATTAATACTCTTCCGTTCTATAATAAGTGATTTAATTGATCATTTCACATCGATTAAAAAAATATAATAATAAATAAAAAAAATTATGTTTTTGCCAAAATATCTATTATCAAATATTGGGAGTGATGAAAAAAAATTATGTTTTTGCCAAAATATCTATTATCAAATATTGGGAGTGATGAAAATAGTAATAGATCTAAGAATTTCTAATATCTTTAATAAATCAGTATGTCATAAGACTCAAATTTATATAGTATATTCATAGATTTAATATATTTCCTCCCTAAGTATGATCATCATTATAATATAATTGTCATTATAACCTTTGTATATTAAACATGCATTTTATTAATCAGTTATACAATTAATCCAACACTCTCGTCTTCATCTAAGTTAGTCCATCCTGCAGGCACGAATCTACAATTACAATTACAATTACAACCTTATGAAGATGAAATAAACTCTATAAATACAATGTCCTTATATCATATGATATAAATGTATAGAAAACCCACTCGTTACACACATAGTCTTCCAATATAATTAACTTATTTTCTCCGAAATAATTACATTTTCAAAAGATATAATTAATTAACACGTGAATACCATATATAATATATAAGAAAGAAAATATGTATATTTGAATTGGTGGTATAGAATATAATAGAATTGAATGGTAATGATATAACATGAATATTTTTTATAAACTTACAAGGCTATTTTATTCCTTTCTATACCACCAATCTAAACATTACCTTTAAAGAAAAAAGCTGTTATGAATATCATCCCCTTGTTTAACATTGTTAACCGATGAGCTAGGACAATTCTTGTCATTGAGAAGTTCTTCTATCATCTGAAGTGCAATTCTATCCTCTTCATCAATCTCTCCTCGCATGATTTCCTCTCCGGTCGCAAAGACCGGCGAAGAGTAGGGCACAACACTACTACTACTAGTACTAGTACTAGTACCAGTACTAGTACTAGTACTAGTGGTACCAATATTTTCAGTTACACTCTTATTTTTTCCAAGATGAACAGTCATAACCCAATTCGAATCAGAACATTTCCCAGCACGCTTTTGCCACACACCAATGTGAGAGTTTTCTGTGTCTAACCTTAAACAAGTCATGGAAGGAGATGGTAACTTGCCACATTTTCGAAGCTTGGCGTGTAAGATTTCTTCTAGATCCTTTGTAGAACTCGAATTTTTGTCCTTATCAGTAATTACACTGCTCTTCGGATCACCTTCCGGAGTTTGTGTTATCGGGAAATTCGTTTTCGCATTTCGACCACTCATTAAAATCGCTGCTTGATCATAAGCTCTTGCCGCTTCCTCAGCTGTTTCAAATGTTCCTAGCCACACCCTTCTCTTCCTATTTCAAATCATAAAATCATAAAAGTAAATAAATTAAATATAATCACAAGTGTCAGATACAAAATACAGACAAACACTGAAAGAATAAGAAACTTACAAAAGTGGATGACGAATTTCAGAAACCCAAGAACCCCAATGACGCTGCCTGACACCTCTGAACTTTTTTGATTGAACCATGATGGTAAAGTACAGAAATAACAGAATAGAAAAGATGGTAGATATAAAGGAATAGATATAGATAGATAGATGGATGGAAGGAGCAAGCACAGAAAGAGAGTTAGTGAGCTGTGTACACTGTCGGCGAACTAAAAGGTAAACACAACAAACTATTAAACAGTTTCACCTAAACAAGTACCTAAAAAATAAATGTTTGTGCTCAACTTTTGTTGCGCAGTTGTTGGAAATAGTACTTTATTTTTTTACTTTCTCTTATATTCCGCATGCATGTTAATTCATATGACTTAACTGCAAATGCAATTCTTCTATTAGTACATTGCCATTATTAGGTGGAGTCACTAGAAAAGATAGTCTCACTCGGTTGTTAGCCTAGCTTTATTTTAATGGGGATAGCATAATTCAAAAGGGTTGATGAAGGTATTAAAGTTGCATGTGGTGTATGTATTATTTCTAATGAATTATTAAGCTATGAGTTAAGTTATGTTAGTCATAGTTTTTTTATTAGACTAACTTTATTATAAAGTGGTGTTTTAATGTGAGCGGCTTTTATTTCTTTTTAACGTTCTAATAATGTTGACCAAGGAAAAAGTTTTCATGAATGGTTTATGATCCAACGGATAATTGAACTTAGCCTATTGTATTTGTATGTTTGGTTCCACTATTTAAATTTTCGAAAGTGATTTTAAAAGTATAATATGTTTGTTTTTTAAATTGATTTTACTTTTACAATAGATTCTGTTTGAAACTATTGTAGATTCTGAGTTTAAGTTTAATTTTAATATTGAAATTTAATGCTAAACTCATTTTTACTTGAGAGATCATGGATAAGATATATGTGTCTCAAATGCACATGTAGGTTGATTAATAACTTGATAGATGGATAAGAGATATATGTGTCATAAACAACTTCGAAAGAGTTGGTTTTATGAAAAACTATTGGGTGTGGTTAAATCCTGGGGAGCGACGGCCACATATTAATATTGAGTTTGATGTTATTACACACACATCTAGCAATTAACAACATATGAAGTATGGTCAATATATTGACATGATGGATGATATGGTAGGTGCCACTCTATGGATGGATGTGTCTTATCATGAAGTAGAAATACTCTCTAATGAAAAAGCTTAAAGTTTTTATTGCCTGTTGAGTAAAGTAAATGAATAGTTGTTTAAAGGATCACCCGACTCTAAATTATCAATGTGTGTGAGAATTTTGGCTGTCAAATCAAATTGACATATATTCAGTTAGTGCTTGAATTTCTTCTAAAAAATGATGTTGGATGCGAATTTTATGAAGGATAACCTACAAATAAATTATTATGATGCTAAGATGTTGATGTCAAAGTTGAGATTAACATATAGAAATATTGATTGTCGTATTAAAGAGTACATATTGTCTATGACATAAAGTTTGGTAAGAATAATAGGCGTTGGAGGAGTGTAAATTTTGAGAATTAAGCAAAGTACCCTCTTCACAATGATGTCGTTAAGAGTAATTAGAAACGAGTATTGATTAAGTCAATGTTTTACGTGTATATAATAACAAGACTGCAAAGGATGTTTGCAGAAACATAGACTATCGAGCAAATGATATGGCATTATTTAAAAAAAAATTGAGCGCGTTGCGACATCCTTGTGATGGTGAAGCTTGAAGTCATTTTGATTTTTTTTGGAAAGCAAAGATAATTTGTATTAATTCTAACAGTACTGGCATAAGCAATGCCAACCAGAAACGCTATCAATACAAATGAGATATTAGCCCATAGTTAAATCATTTTAAAATAGTTTTTAAAATAAGAAAATTTCATTAGCAATCTATTCACCGTCTCTAGATCGTAGTCTATCGTCTAACAAGTGGTATTAAGAGCATAAATTTAACTTGTGATTTGAAATTGCTTATTAGATAATAAATTTCGAACCTAAAGGGGTGTGTAATAGAATGTCAGTTTTCAATGGCGAAAAGTATGGTTATTGGAATGATTGTATGTGTATCCATCTAAGTTCTGTTGATAGGAAGGTATGGAGCACCTTCGAAAATGGTCCATTTGTAATTACCATGACCAATATGGAGGGTGTTGTTGTACTTAAACCAGAAGGACAATGTAATGTGGGTAATTAATATCCTCTTTAGGGGTTGATTAATATTACCGTGTTTCCAATTGCACAACCACTAAAACTATGTGGTACTAATTGCAAGTTGCCCAAGAGAGCATAAATGATGTCAAACAAGCTAGAATCAATACTTTGAAACCAAGAGTTTGAACTCTTTCATGTGAAGTTTTGTGAAACCATTACAGATATGCAAAAGAGTTTCGCTCATATTATAAATCGTTTGAATGCACCTGATAAGTCCATTTCTAATGAAATTGCTACTAACAAAGTGTTAAGATGTCTTAATATGGAATAACAACTGTAGGTTACCGCAATCAAGGAAGCTAATAATCTATTGACATTGATATTACTACTTTTTTTGGATAAATTGAAGAACATGAGCAAGAGCTCACTTTCTTAGAGAAGAATAAGAAGATAATTAAGAAGGAGAAGAAAAAGTAAAAGGAGGTAGATAAGAAGTTTATAGCTCTTGTGGCTTCTAGCTCTAAGTACTCTACTATAAAGCTAGGCGATAGTGAAACTAATGATGATGAAGAAATGTAGCTTTTTGTTAGAAGGTACCATAAGTATATTAAGAGAAATCGATTGAAGCATTTCGACAAGAATATCTTTAACTATAGAAGGAAAATCAAATACCTCAAAGCAAGATGAAAGCAAGAAAGAAAAATCTAAAGGTTCATGTTATAATTGTGGAAAAGTCGTACATTATAAGCCATATTATCTATTGATTAAGAATGATAAAGGAAAAGGTCAACACAAGAACTCTAGCAAATCTAGAAGAGTATACATTTCTTTGGAAAATGGTAGTGAATCCTCAAGTGAAGATAGCTTAAGTGATAGTGATCAAACGGAAAATTTTTCCTCACGGACCATCAAAAGAAGAAGAATGTAAGTTATTCTAAACATGAACCTATTGATAAAATGTCTTATTCTGAATTACAAATTCCTTTTTAAAATCTACATGGTGAAGCCGTAGATGCTTTTAAAAAGATGGCTTCAAACAAAAGAATATTTTCATACTTAAAAGCCAAGGTTTTTGAAACTGAAAAATAATTGGAAGCTCTTAAGCAATCCATGTTAGAAGTTTTAAAAGTTAATATTGAGGATGAAAATCTTTCTTGGTTTGGTTGTGAAACTTGCCACATTTGGAAAAAAGAGTTTAATACTCTAAAAGTCAAATTGAACAAGACTTTAGAACCAAAAGTCAGTTATGCTATTGATCCTACAAAATTAAAAAGATCTTTAAATGTACCATACAAAAGGTACAAATTTGTGGAAAAGGAATCAAATAAAAAAAGTCCCTCTTAGCATCATTTGATTTATCACTATTGTTGTAAAAAAGGTCATAACATTGCAAAATGCAAATTTAGGATATTTCTTGTTCCTAAAGGTGTTTTTCAATTGTTTGTTAAGTGCAACATAGTTTCCAATACCTCTCAAAGACACAATAAAAATTGGGTACCTAGCACTCTTGTTTATCTTGTAGGTTGAATGTCTTGGCTTCACAGAGAGAATATGGTTTCTTGATAAAGTATACTCAAGGCATATGATGAGTGACATTTCCCTATTCATTAATTTCTTGGCAAAGAAGAAGAGGTATGTGACCTACAGATACAAAAATATGGGTGTTATACTTGGTAAAGGTAGTGTAGGTAATCTCTATTCTACTACTATCTCTATTGTTACTTATTGTTGAAGAGTATGTGTATGTCACTTTTGATGAAACTTATCCTATAAATGTCGTAAAAGGTATTTCTTTCATGATATAATTGTATCTTCAGAAGACATGCTCAATGAAACTGAAGAAGGAACTGATCAGCCTGAAGCGGTGAAACCGAGAGAGGAGGAAGATGATCCTAAAAAGGAAATAATTAAAGTCCAACTAAAGTGGATGATCTTCCCTTAGCTTAGAGGACTACCAAGGACTTTTGAATCAACAATATTCTTGGGTACATCATCAAAGGAATGACTTCATTCTCTAAGAAAACTCAAAGAAGGAATATTTATGTGTTCAACAAAGCGCTATAAAGAATGGTATATGCAAAGTATTTTGACACTCCAATTCCCACAAATGGGAACTTAGACAAACATGAAAGTTGTTATACTCCAAATTTGTCCGCCCTTTATTTCTACAGTCAAAAATATTTTCAATATTAGTTTTTATAATATTCTTTGGTTCAATTTTACTAACATTTTAACAATAATTTATTTCTCTCATTTAAAAATAAAATAGTTTTTTAAAATTCTTTGTAAATATCTGTTCACATTTCATATACTTTCAATTGGGATTTTCATTTCAAATGAGTAACATATCACAATTGGTAAGGAGAAAGGCTTACAAATATGAGGGTATGATTTAGAATCTTAGTGTCATACATTTTGACATTTTCCCATTTTTATTGTTAGTAACTTTAAATTCATTTTTATTTATAATTAAAAAAGCACAAAAATATTATATTATTAATTTAATTTTTATTTTTTATTATATTATTTATCATTTTTTTGAAATATTATTTTTTCCATTTAAACTATAGCTTTATGCATTTTATAGTAAAAAATCTAAATAAAGAAAGTTTTAATTTTGATTTGTTATTTTTAGTATTTTTAATTAACTTTTTGAGCAAGCAAATTAATTTAGGAAACATCCAATCTAATTGAATAAAAATATATGAAACCTGGAACTAATTTTGTGGCTTTAATTATTTTATTCAATTATTGGATCAATTTAATTTATTTTCTATTTTAATTAACCTAATTTTCAAGTATAAATAGAGCTAATTTCTACACATTAAGGGAGAGGTCAATTTCTATTCACTTTTCACATATATTTTCACGGGAAAAAACTGAAGAGATAGAAACAAAGCAGATCAAAGAAAATACTCTAC